TAGCACGCAACATTTAGGTTTTCATATTTTTACACATTTGTGCAACTTTTTAGTTTTTGATGCCCTTTTGTAGTGTAATTATTATTTTATTTTCTCATTTTATGCGTGGAAAGATTCAAACTCAGTTTTGTCCTGGTACAGTGTATTTGAAATGTTGGCTGTGCAAATGTGAAGTCTCGGCTAAAGCCGCGACAAACACACAGCAATCACATTAAGTGGATTGTGGGGCGTCGACAACAACACCTAAAGGACGGAAAGTAACAAGCGGGCATTGAAGATGAGGTGCGCTCATTTCATTTATATAACCATAAAGCTGGCAGTGTCATTTACAATTATGTTGCGGCTTGCCGTGATTCGATGTGCGCCTTGGGCTACAACGAAGTGATCTGCAAATGTGCCTGAAACACAATCTAGCTTCTCTCAACTATTATGAGCCGTCGCTAAGTTAATGGACATAAGCATACCCGGTGTTAATGCGGATCCATTAAGCAGAGAATTTTTCATTTCATTTCAAAAGCTGTCGGAATTATTCAAACGGAAACTTATATCCAGCGTTTTAGTTTAACTTAGAAATCAATTTGATGGGTTAATATCCTCATTAGAATATCCGCAAGTATGCTTAACAAAAATTCACCGATTTTTCTAATAAAGCTATACTTTATACTTAGCAGTCGGTTGCTAGTACGACTTCAATCATGTGTTAAAAAAATTCGTAAAACAATTAAATGCCAAACTAAGCTTTAGATTTTACCTCACCCTCTATGAAGAGGGTACTACAATAAATGTTTCATTCTTGTTGACTTTTCACCAAAACATGTAAACAATTTTAGCGAATTTCTTCGGAAAAGTCTTAATAACTTTTGCCCTTTGTCTTCCGATGCTGCTCTGCACATTAAAATACGATAGTTGAAAAAAGTCTGCGTGTCTCCGTCTCGCATAAAAAATAAAGGGGAAATTACAATAGAAGAAAAAGTTCAAAAGAAAATAATCGAAAGTCAGAAAAGAAGTTAAGTCAAATGTCATATGATGAGCAAAAACCATTTTTCCTATTGGGTCGGTGCCCGTGGGAGGGGTTGGGAGTTGGCAAGCGTTAAATGTGCCTTTCATAAAATATAAGTAGCTCCACATGGTCATAATAATAGAAATATATGTAACGTCTTACTGACTGACACATTCATAACGTCCTGTTTTGCACTGTGTGCTTTGGGGGCGGCATCCCTTACAGGACCTATTCTACTCGATTTACTTGCCACACCCCCAGCTGTCTCTTAACCTGCTTTTTACCTGCTTGCTGGTAATTTGTCAAATGTGGATTTTGCCATTCTTTTTCATTTCTTTAGGCCACTGTTGCGCCTTTGCCACGTGCAGCAGACGACAAACGAGGGTAGCTCAAAATCTATAAAGTCTACAAATTAACTTTCTCTTTAAATAGAAGCTAGACATTTCAATATATCGCGCCCAGCTAGTGGAAGAAGGGAAAAAGGTTCACTTATTTTCTGCCTAGTCATCAAAGAGTCAAGTTTCACTTTGGCCTGCAAAAACAAAAAGTTTCGGGCTTTTATCGGACTAACTACAGAATACATGAATTTTTTATTGCGCGAATTCACCAAATATTCCTGTTCAGGCAGCCTTTTTAAACTTTCAAAGTGAAAAACGGCATGGGATTCTACTGAATTCATTATAAGATACACTTCGTCACTTAAATTATTTAATGTGAAGTCAATTAGTAGTACATTTCACAATTTGTGAATTTTGCACACAACGCAAAGAAACTTTTGTGCATAAGCTAAAATGTATTTAAAGACGGCGATTTGGTTCACGGCTCGAAGCATCGTCCTAACTTTCAGTTTAATTTTTTCTTCATAACAATAGATATGAAGTTCCGGGCCTTGAAAAGCAAGCTGCTGTGATACAAACGTTCGATTCGTTTGTTGACTTTTCTCAAAACCCTCGCAGAGTGTGACCTGCTGAGCTGTCTGAGCAGAAAGCCTCGGCTTCATACCACCCGACTGGTTGCTATACTGCGTGATATTATTTAGCTTTTTATACGCATTTAGTGTTATTTTTCTGCGCAAATGCAATAAATTTCCTGTAGCATTATCCTAAATATGCTGGGCGCGTGTGTATATGTGATTCTGTGTGTGATGTGCTTGTGTTTCTGTGTGTGTATGTGTGTGTGTGTGTGTGTGTGTGTGGGAGGAAGGTGTGGTTGATGTTTGTGCACGTGTATACATCAGAGGCTTGACATAGCAACGGGGGCGTTGCTGGGCACTGATGGTTTTTCCTCAGCTTTGAGTTTACTTTAAAATTGCGCGTCTTGGCGCCTTTGAAATGAAAGCTTGCGAAATCTCAGCTCGCCAATGCAATCCAATTACAGCACGAACCCACGCGTGACTCTCGACGCAGACTCAATTAAAAATAGCACTTACAGCCATTGAAATAAACTCTACCACTTCCCACAAAGCCAACCCTCCTGCCCCTAGCTCAACCCTCTCTGGTGGCTATCGGTATTTGTTTTTTGCCAGCGAACAGCCATAAAAAGTGGCGATAAGCAATCAGCCAGTTCTCCTGAAAAATAAAAGCCATATAAGCTGCGTTGGCTCGCAATGCAATTTGCGCATCAGTAAGCACGAGACACTGTGGAGGGGGGAGGGTTCTTCATTTCAAAGGGAACGTGTCAGATGGACATATACTTCTGGCTTTCCCTCATTTGCGATTCTCTGGAACTGCAGTTGCGTATTGCAGCTTGGCTAGTCGCTTTACTGACTTCAATTTGCATATTTGTACATGTAAATTTCTTGCTATCCTTGGCGTTTTCGTGATTTTAGAAACATAAAAAAGAAATTCGTTTTTTGTATCTAATGGTGAATCCCAGAACTTGATGTCAAGAATATGCTGCAGCTTAAAAGCTAAAAACATGTTTGACCCATTCAATCATTCACCTTTTTGCTGCATGTCATACAACTGCTATAACAGCAAACTGTTTTTTTGTCAAAACTCTTTCTTTTTTTTTTTCAAGTCATTTGTACAAAGTCAAGTGCTATCTAGTAGTATTACTTAACTAGTGTTTGCTGATACATATACATGTATATAGAAAATAAGATATAGATATATATATATATAATAGACTACCTTTGCTCAGGAGGAAAAATGCCAATAATTAGTTTTTTCATATTTGCTTTACGAATTGAGGACAGATAGTATAACTTAGTCCAACGTTACTAAAGCAAGCATCATCAAACATAAAGCAGTGTTAAAATAACTTAAAACTTAAGTTGAGTCGGTCAGGGCTTAAATAAATAAATGGTTTATTTTTTTTTTTATTTGTCGCGCATTCAACGCCAGAGAAGATCCGTAGCTGAAAGTTAAAAACCGTTGATTCCTGTCAAAATTCCATGTCCGTGTGAGTTGGATTTCATTTTTACACTTTTCATTTTAGACATGCCGTCTTATTTTTCTGTGCGCTTTCTAGGTTTCACGCAGAGCACTGCGGCAAACTTTTATAATTAAAACTTTCCGCTGCGACTCGAGTGAAAAATGAAGAAACAAGCAAATGCGTATATATGAATTGTTTAGCAGTATATGCGCGAAATATTTTCACTACACGGAACCAAAAATATTGTACACCATAGAAAGTACATTTAGATTCCTAAGGTTTCAGCGCAGTTAACATTTTAAGAATTTGTAATATTAACGCACCGAAAATAATAAAACAAAAGTGAACATATATATATATATATATATATATATGTATATATATATAGAAGCATTTTGTGGGTAATTAGTAATTTTTAAAGTAATTTCGTAAATACGTATTATGTAATGTCTAAGCACTTTAATTTACTTAAGTTTTGTTACGCTGATGCCGCTGCTCAACTCAGAAAGAGATATCTTTAAGTATGCCACTTATCAGAATCTGGGCAGCATTATACGGATGTTGGATAGTCCTAGGCGGCCCATAAATAAACACTGTTGCCGCCTGTCAGGCGAACAAAATTGCGTAAAAGCGTCGCGCCCCCAAAACCCATAAATCACACCACAAAGTAGGCAGAAGGAGAGAGGCTGAGCGTGGGACGAGCTGGCAAATGCTAATGATAGTTGTGTACAAGGCTTATCAGCTACAAGGAGCCGTAAAAGTTGCCTTGAAATGCTTTACAAAAGCAGCTGCAAAATGAACTCTGTATATGGCTAATTGAGCGCAACATGGCGTATGCGCTATATATACATGCTATATACGACTGGCCATATGCCATATTTCCGCTTAATAATTAAATGGATCGTATGGGCCATCTATAACGAAGCTGAACACAGCGTAACTCAATAAATATGGCAATGCATTGAAATTAACTTGCGTCAATTTATGGCCACTCTTTGTACAAATGAATTCAGTCCTTGCTGCTTCACTGCTTCAGCGGCTGCTTCTGTGTGTCGGTCCGTCTTCGTATTCCAACTGGTGGCTGAGGGGGTGGCGGTGGGTTGGTGTACACATTATAATAATGCTGCAGCCCTGGCTTTGGCCTTGCCTTGTCAATGCGCCAATGGAGCTTAATAATAAAATGGAATGTCGGCTAGGCAACAGAATTCCTTTGCTTGTCAATTTGATGTCGTTTCCTTTATCCTTCACAGCTCTAACGTGTGCAACATCAATATTTTGCATGCACGAGCTAAAGCTACGCGTGTGGGCGTGGCAGCACGACATTGTATTGCCGCAGGCGAAGCATTCAATATTTCAATAGGTTTCGTCCTGGCATTGCAAGCGCCCTATAACTAAATCGAATCGCATCATATCACATCAATTGTGTTATTGTTATTAGAATAGAAGAGTGACTGTGGCCAAGAATATGGAATTGGTGGGCGTAAGTCAAGTTCATTTTTGAGAAAAAGTTCTGTCAATTCATACACACATTTTTCGAATCATTCTGGTTACACTTTCTGTTTTAAAATGAATTTCATCATATTTTTTGGTTTCAAACTAATCAATTAAAGTTAAAATTCGGAAGTCTGAAAACATGCAGTCCTTCAGAGTCTCATGAAATGACTAAAAACAACATGAACTTTATTTAAACAAATGTCAACCAAAAATAAAAAAATGGAAAAACCAAAAAAAAAAAAAAAGAATTTGAATATAAAAACCGCTAAATTTAATTAACTAAACATTATGGTTAGACAGTTATTGTCAACTTCGACTATTGGCACAGGCCACTATGTCAAAAATACGATCTTTATGCCAGAGCCACGTTCACGCTGTGGTATAGGTGTACACATACATTTATATATTAGATGGAATTGAAAAAGTTTAAGCTTGGTCAGCAAGCAGCCAATTAGAGAGGTCTTACAGAGCAGTCCCTGCCTAATTGGATGTTTGCCGTCCGTCAAGCGTAGCCAACTACTTACAATATAATACTCGAAAGGAGCTCGACACAGCGGACAGACCTTGGTGGGGCAGACATCGTAGACCTTCTTGAGACAGCGCTTACAGAATGTGTGCTTGCATGGGGTGCTTACAATGCGATGTTTGCGGCATAGACAAATTGCACAATAGTCCTCAGTATCGTCCATTTTATGGTTGTATTGAATTTTTTTGTAAATGTTAGTTTATTCTATGTATGTGCTACAAAAATGACGAGTCGTTCGTACACCCAAGTGAAGTCTAGCGCAAAGACGAATTTATTTGATGATGTGCTTTCTGCTTTCTACGCTCTTTCTTTCGTTTTACCAAGCACATATTAAGCATACGCCACGTATTACATGAGCTTGTCAGTGACATTTTATTTATGACAGCGAGCACATAACAAAGGAAGGAAACGGCTGCAAAAACGGCTGATTCAATAAATCGCAGACCTATCAACGTAGGACAAATGCACACACACACTGGCAGACATCCTGCATATAGGGTGTCAGGGCAGTGCAGTCCAAGTGTTTGTGTGTGTGACCTAAATATTAAGTAAATAATATTAAATTGATTTCTAGTCATTTGAATAACATTTACCTATAAAAGGAAGCTTTTTCTACCTTTCGACCTTTGTAAGATACAAAGATATTGACATAGCTTTTATTAAGAAGACGATCCCAGAACAAAATCCAAGTTTAATTCACTTCAATTTGAAATAGTCAAGGCTTTTCTAGGATTACTTCATCCTGGTTAACGATAATGCCAATAAGGGAGATACAATGCAAATTTATGAACTGCTCTCGACATTTTAATCCGGCTTAAAACAAACTCCAATCAACTATACACGCATTAATCGGTACATTATAGTTTGTTGCTATATTATTTTTCGAAGATTATGAGTGACTTCTTTGTTGTGACACCCTGTAAGGGTATGTGCTTATATGAAGTGGGCTTTGTGAACGTTCATCAAATTGACGCGCCTGCTCATTGCTTGACGAAATACATATTGTATAGATATTATCGGGCCACTCCCCCAAAGGCATCCAAGCAATGAACATTGTCAAATTAAGGCAAGATTGATTATGTGTCTGGCTGTCGGTCAGGCTGTCTGATTATTGCGCAATGTCCAAACAGTTTCGTGCACATTATTAACTTAACTTTTTCTTTTACAGTGGCTGGCTAGGCAGCGCCAAGGGCTGGTTGGGCAATGCTTCGATACCATCGATGCCAGCCATGGCAATGCCATCGATGCCATCGATGCCAGCGATGCCATCAATACCATCGATTCCCGGACTGCGTAAGAGCGGGGCTGCCGATGGATCTGAGGGCGGCGAAGGTGCTCCAGATGTCAATGCTGCGGGTGCTGTGAGTGCTGGCGAAGATGACGACAAGTCGAGGTATATTAGGTATGGGCCCCTGCTTAAGAATGACGGAATTATATACGAAAAAAAAACTGCAACAGCGAAGAGAAATAACTTTTATAAAAGCGCGTTTGTATTTTAGTTCAAAATTTTTTTTTTCTTTTGTTTTTTTTTTTTTGTTTTTTCTTGTTTTAGTTTTTGTTCAACTTATTCAAAATAATTGTTGCGTCCTTTGTTTGAAATTAACCTGTCGTTCAACGTTCACTCACTTGACGGCTATTGTTCGTCTGTTTTTTGTTCACACCCTGAGGAATAAAGGCAACTTTTGAATTTCAAAGAAGCCTCAAATTAATTATACACAAGCCTTTACTAACCTCGCTACAATAAAATACTTCCAGAATACCATTAAAATATTTTTTAAACACAAATTAACTTAAATATATGACTATTGTCATTTAGTTTTGCTTTAAATATTCACGAATTTTCCTCTAATAATTATTTAGCTTTTAAAATAAAATACAATATATCACTCAATACTTGCTACTCACTTAAGCCTCTACCCATATCCGTTTTAACTTGAAATTCATAATCTTACACTCGTGCTAACTTTAGTTTTACTCTTTATAACTTTATCTTAAAAGCGTATACTCTTAAAACTGTACAGACAAATACCTTAATACAAACCACATATATAACATTTTAAACGTTTTTGTATGTATATATATAATATATATTGAGAAACTTACAAATGTTTGACGAATTGATAAAAGATCGGATATGAAAAACAATTTTGTCCCCTAACAAAGTGTCAATATATACCTTAAGACTAATATCAATTACAACTCTCAAGAATAAAGGTAAGTCATTGTGTATTTCAGAATTCTATAAATTAGGCATTTTGTAAGGGGACACAATGATGTTTAGATTCTAAAAATGTTTCTTTAAGAAACGGAAACATAAATAAACCATTTCATAAAGACCTTCATCCAGTTATACAATCATTTAATTTGAATTCATGCTAATGTAACACATGACCCTGACAACATATATTCCAAGTTCATCATTAGTTGATTTCACACTTTGATTCATTTCATATTTTCGTTTCGTAACGCGTTATATAAAAATAAAATCAATTTGTATAGCATTTAGTAGAGACAGAAATGTTCAAGTATCAGATTCCATCATTATTGAGCGGCCCATCAAACAACCTCAAGGATCTAATAAAATCTGGAAATATTCTTGTGGCAACGCAGTAGATAAAAACAAAAAACTAATTGATGTTACTAGTTGTTATCATTTTTATTTTCGTCTTAGTTAAATTTTATTTTTTATATGCCATTCTAATTTCTCAGTGTCGATGTGTAGCTCATCCTGTGTCAGTAATTCGCTTTTTTTCGCTTTCCTTTTTATCTATTTTGTGTGTGTAGAGACTATATAATTATCTTCAGCTCTTTGGCAGCTCCTTCCAAATAAACTCTCTAAGTGTGTGCTCTACTAGAGTTCTCTGTCACTTGATGTCAAAAGAAGAAAAATTCATGAACCGATCTGAAAATATATATTCGTTAAAGATGATCCGAGTGTTAGTGCATGCATTATGTGTGTTCTCTATTGGCCTCTTCATTTCCGATTAATGCATTTCATATAATTTCCATCCCTTCATAAACAATTCATTTGAATTATCTACTTTCATTGCATTTGCATCGACAATCAACATAAATAATTGCAATATTAATTGTCCTGAACTAAAACCAAAACAAAAAAACTCTGAAAACTTGTAAATATACATAAACGTTAATGTGAACATAAAAACAAAAATGTTGCTAATCATAGACTAACTTAATAAATGAGGTCTTAAACAAAAAACAAAATGAAAGTTATTTTTAAATTAAATGAAGCTTATTACTAAATATTATCCAACCAAACATTCATTTTTATTAGTTAAAATCTTAAGCGCGAACTTAAATACAATTAATTAGTCAGTAATAAATATTCCTGTGAAACCTTTGAAAATTAATTTATGCGTAAAACTATTTGAGCCTCTTTCTTATTCAGTGCATTACAAGACGGGCTAAACCTAACTTGCAAATGTTGCCATGTAGACTTTGTTAACATGAACCTTAATATGGATGAACATGGGAAATCAGGCATTAATTTTAAAGAAATTTCTATAATATCAATAGAAATTTAAAAACGATTGCTCATGTATGTTTTTTTTTTTCGAAAATCCATTGGCCGACAAATATTTGTTTCGAGAACCTATTGATTTAGTCTATGACTGCATTTAGTACCCAAACAAGCTAGGGACTCGGACTTAAATCGCACGCATATTCAGTCAATATCTTTGTTGCTGAACGAATCAAATAGGATTACTGCCAAATGAACTGCATGCTGCATGAGTTGAACTGCAATATCCACAATAGATATCCTATGTATATATTATGTATAAACGTTTCCCCAAATTCACGACCACATATCTGACACAAGCTTATTTTGTTCTCTCTCTCTCTCTTTCTCTATTTTGTTCTCTATGTTGCACGCTGACGCAATTTCTAATTACAGTGCTACAGAAGGCGCTGATTCGCATCCAGCATCGGGCGGCGGCACGCCCACTGGCGATGAGGGTCAAATTGGACAGGGTAAGGGCGATGAAGTGAAAAGTACGTGTCACAGTTTGATTGGTAACAAAAAACAAAAAAAAAATGTTATATAAATGTCAAATGAATGTCAACCTTAAAAACAAGAGACTCAAATGCAATCTGCCAAAACGAAAAGTGATTAAAATGATAGAAAGCGGTGACAGGTTACTAATCAGCTTACAGTACTATACGTAGTTAATATGCTCCCGAATTCATAGTGCACACTTATTTATTCACCCATAGCTGAAAGCCTTAATAAACCCACACCCAAAAACAATTTCCTATTTAGCCTAGCTATTTTGGTTGACTGCATTATTTAGTTGCAACCACCTTTACTTTGTATCTATCGCAGCAACGAAACTAATTTAAATGCTTATCACTTCAACAGTTACCACAAAAGTAACTCAACAGGCCAAACATTTTGGATCATTCTTGTCATCGGCCATCAGCAAGGCTGGCAGCAAAATCAAGGAAACAGTCAAGGATAATGTGAGTAAAATCGTGAGATGCTTGGACATTGTTCAAAATACATTACCTTGTACCTTTGTTTTTATATTTAGACCATTCTCGACTCGTTCAATAAGGAGCAGGAGGCATTCATTAAGGGTCAAGGCGGTGCTGGCAATGGAGCCGCCCCCTGGATTGGACATGCCAATGAGACAAAGATAAAGGAGGAAATTTTAGGATTATCACAGGATCGTCGCAACTTTGTGCGCGCTCCGCCAGCCGGCGTGGACTTTGAGTTTAGTTATGACATCGCATATCCCACTGCCATAGCCATTATGGCCGAGGATAAGGCGCTCGAAACGATGCGCTTTGAGCTGGTGCCCAAGATGTGAGTAGCCATTACCTAAACCAATTCGAATCACTTTCATTCATATCCTTCAACACCGCGCAGCATTACTGAGGAGAACTTCTGGCGAAATTATTTCTATAGGGTCTCACTAATCATTCAGGCCGCCGAACTGGGCACTTTGGGCGCTGATGGTGTGGGCCAGGCTTCCAGCGGTGAAGATGGTAAGTTCCTAGTCGGTTACTGCGCATCTAAAAGCTATCACACCGAAGACCCAAAAACAGAACACAATTAAGCGCTGGAGCAGAAGGAGGCTAAACTGCCCAATTTTATTATTTTCCTGCGCTTGCCTCTTCCGTAACTTTCTCTACTGAACTCTCTCTTGCTCTCAAACACACATACAAACACTCGCTATTCGCGCGCTCTTTAATTTAAAGCTCTCAATCAAACTCTATTATCCTCTCTATCTCTCTCTCTCTCTCGCTCTGTCTCTCTAAGTCTAAGTTTTAACTTTTTTGATTTTGTAAATGTTTCTTTTCACACACGCGCCTGTTGTTTTATAATTTTTGAACTAGCTCCAAGTTCTCCAAGCTCCCTAGTTATTTTGTTTTCAATTTCGGCTAGAGTCTGTAAAACACCGCCTTTAGTATGCTCTGAACGTTAAGTTTCTGTCCTTTTAGGTTTTTTTCATTTACCTTCAGTTTAGTTTATATTTCTAATTATAATTGCACCGGCTGCTGTCGCCTGTGAAAATGCCGCGATTTCCTTTCACTTCCGATTCTCATTTTCACTTTTCACCACGTCGCGCGTTCAGTTCTTAAAATCGATAATCAAAAATCAACTCAATTTCTCAATTCGCCTTTCACTTGACCTAATTTTCTTTAATTTATTTTTATTTTAATTTTCTTTTCATGATTTATGCTTTTTTTATACACAAAATTACAACGATATTGTGAAAAACATTTAAAACAAAAATCAATCAAACTCAACTGTGATGATTTGAAATGTCTAAAAAAAAACAGCTAAACAATTGCCAGATATAAAAGATATTGATAAAAATATAAGCCCTGCGAACAGTGCGCCAATCGCCGATTCCCCATCAGCTGTAGCAGCAGCAGCTCAAGCCGCTGTCTCTGACCAACACAAGCCTGTTGTAGAGATTGCTGCCGCCGAAGAGCACATGGCTAGCGACAAGAAAGCTTTGACCCAAAAAATCTCTGAGTCCGAGTTCGTATCGGATGAATTTCAAACATCCAATGATACCGATTTGGCCGAAATCAAAGATGGTATGCGCAAGCTGGGCATTGATAGCATGACCCAACAGGCGCTTGCCGCCAGCGATGGTAAGAGGTCTTAGCCTGCAACTTTAACTCTGATTTAATTAAGTTTTCATACAATTTATATATTGGTTATAATTGTATTATTTATTAAGTTTTTATTTTGATGTTACTTTTTTCTTTTAAAGTTTGTAAATTAATTTGATTGCCTCTTCCGACTTATGCCCTTTATGCCTTTTGAATAACTAGGAAATTAACAAGGATTTACTTTAATGAACGCCCAAAATTGTCTGAAAGACTGAAATCCCATCATATTCTGGCGTTCTTAATGAACGCCTATTTCTATTTCCTCTTGCTGGTTAAACAAATCAAAAGCAGGAAAGCAAAATCATTTTAATAAACTACACAAAAATTACGGTTAATTATTTAAACAAAATCTAAATATTTCACATATACTTTTGCATATTTATTTATAAATATATACATATATATATATATATATATTTTCCATTGCAAAGTAAAGGCTTTACTAACTAGATAACTTTCCATACCGCAATCCTTAGTAGAGGGCATAAAAAAGTCGAGCAAGCTTCATTTAAAATTGTTTTCGCTTATTAATTTTTAACATTTTGTACATACATTTTTGGTTTCATGCTGTGCCCGCTGTGAAATCTGTTTTACTAAGCAAATCACTCTACAAATTTCAGTTGGGACTGCATCTAGCCAAACACATACACATACAAAAATATACACATACATAAAAACATTTTGTGATAATTTCGATATTTATTTGATAAGAGACGGAAAAACTAGAAAATGAAACAGGCTGGCACTTACATAAATGTAGCTATTTACGAGTCGATATGTTGAGTCGAGTCCAAAATATTCAAGTCTTACAATTTGTATGTCCGTATATAATGTTCATTTAAAGAATTCATTTATTTGAACTTACATATATAGTCTATATTACATAGATCATTTCATGATCCATTGCATCGTCTCATAAATGAGTTCACCTTTTTATTTGTGTCTATCCGTATTTGTTATTTGATTGCTTTTCGGCCCTTGCCTCATTTGAACTGTTTGGCTGTGCGAATTTTAATTTTCATTTCTTATCATACATGAACTAACTTTAATCAAATACCTATTGTGCATATTTATTTTACAATCTACACAAAAAAAGACCAAATTTAATATTTTGAATAAAACATAAAAACAAATAGAAACTCTTAACAAAAAATGTGTGTACAAAACAAAGTGTAAAAATCAAACAATTCTCTTTTTTCTCCTCTGCTCTGTTTCTTTCTTTTGTATAAATTAAATTTTGTCGAATCGTTTTCTTTATTGTCGAACTATACTAACAACCAACCAAAGCTCTGGCATTTAATTATTAAATAATAAATATCAATTGAAATGAAAGCAACAACAAAACAAAAAAAAACGTATATGCAAAACCCTATGGCATCTAACGGATAACAAAGTATTATAAATTATATAATAATCAATATACTTATATATATATATATCTGATATATATATATATATGATAACACAAACCGACATTTTAAGTCCAGTCTAAACAAACTGTTGTTGCCATTCTTTTCTAACTAGCATACAAAATATTTAAATAAAATTCTATAATTTCCACTTAAGTATCTATGAACTATAACAAACTAACATGATTTAAATATTAACTAGCCACAAATCAATTTCGAACAAGTTGAGTATGACCAAAATGATACAAATTCTTATTATTAAAATACTCTTTACAATCTTGTGCTTTTTCAATTGCAAATCCATTTAATTATTGATGTTCGCTATACAACATTTTTGTGTTTATCAATTTTCGAGTTTCTTATTCTTATTGTTTATACACATATACTTTCCCCAACTATTTCGGCTAAATTTAAAACAATATAAGTATAGATTTGTATACCCAATCACAATTCGCGTTTTCCTCCTTAACACAAGCACCAACAACAAAAAACACTTTAAAAACGAAATCCAAAAAAAAAAAAATCTACGCAAATTCTTAGTATTAAACACAATATGAATTATATCGAAAACATTTAACAAATATTTATTTTTCTTCATGTATTTCTTAATTTATTCTCAAATCATCTTGCAGAAGATTGAACGGATAAACGCTAAATTAACAAAAAAAAAAACAAAAACAAAATAAAATATATACAAATAAAAAAAAACCCACATGACAGAAAAACAACTAAAAAATACAACAAAATGTTAAGCGATTTACAAAAACCAAAAGCAAAAAACAAAATTATATACATATATATATAAATATATATACATATATAAATACATATATATATATATATACATATAAATTTATATATATATATATATAAATATTCACTTGACAAACATTTAAACAAAACGCATTATTTATATAAACCGAAAGAAAAACAACAAAAATGTTACTTAAAAACTGAAACAAAATTTTGTGTGGTAAGTTAGAAATTGTTGGTTGAAAAATTCCAATTTTCACTTATATAAAAAAATTATAAAAAAAAAAATGTAAAACAAAATTTTTTCAATATTTCGTTGTTGGTTTTCAATTGCATACAAATTGTGTTCGGCAAAATAGTTGCCACCGATTTCTAGTTTATTTATTATATCTGTTGTGTCCATACGAGTGTCCATATAAGTATTATAATATTGTCTGCCTCTGTGTTTATTCGTTTTTGTATTGAGTTGAGTTCCTTTGATTTTTCGTCTACAATAAAAAAAATGAATATAGAATTTGCATAAGTAGTTGCTATTTAATTCCTCAAAGTAAATGCAATCCTTCTTTGAGCATAGTCCCTATTTATTTCGTGTATTTTTGCATAAATCTAAACAATGCCCAAAAAAACACAAACTTTTCAAAATTGAAATCAAGAAATCAACATTTATTGTCAATTCAAAGTTTCAATGCTTTTTAACTGCACTAAAGATGAACAGGTTTATGTTATAGAAAACAATCCGATTTCCAAATGTGTATTCGAATTCGTATAAAAACCAACTCATCACACAAAATCCAGAGAAAGAATTACAAGCCCAAGCAAAAATATGTATCTTTCCTTAAGAACGTAAGTCAGTCTGTCCATATACTGTATACCCAGACATTTTTCAATTTTGATTGTTGTACAGAAACCTAAGTTATTAATTTGTTCGAGAATAATTGTAAATTTTTGAATAGCTTTTAGTTAGTTTTTATTATATATTTGGCGTGCTTTGTATAAGTAAATTTTGTAAAAACAATAGCAAATATTTAGCTTGCTTTTTATTTCGATGTTAAATATGCTGTAAATACACACAATATTTTTACTTTCGTACTATTAAACATTTTAACTGACATATATGTATGTATACCTAAACCTTCGGTGTCACCTCTGGCACTCGACTTGGTGTTAGAGCAACAAGCAAGTCATGGCAAAAGGGCACTTCGTTCACTTCTTTACTGGCGCGGTGCGTGGGTATTGCACGCTATTCGTTAATCAGTTAATCAGGCTGACGGGAAACTGTATTGTATTGGCCTAATTACCATATTAAAAGAACATTTTTACCTTTTGTAGACGATTACTTTTCAATTACGGTGCGCATTCCAAAACGAATAACAGTCTGTGAAAACCTATGCCTTAGTTATATGCCACGCGATTAGTTACGAGTTGTCCAAGGTAAACGAAAATGAGAAAGAACGAACAAATGATCCATGTACTTGCTTGGAGTGTCACAAAATGCCAAACTTCAATGCTTGCTAGACACACATTAATATATATATATATAAAATCAATAATCAATTATCTAACATGATATGCCGCAATGTATGCTATACTTAACTTATTTATATGAACCTATTTATGTAACCTAATCTGTCTATAAGCCCGTGTAAGCCACACAAATAGTAATGGTCAGTTTGATAACTCTTTCTCAGAGGAACAATGGGAGAAGGACCTGGAAGCTGAGCTCAAGGACTACGAGGTGGTCGACGAGGGCGGCACTGGTGGTGGTCGTAGTAAACACATGGTTGAACCGGATCTGGAGGATGATGAGGAGACACCGACAATATCAAATTTGCGCACACGATCGACTAACAACGATTGGGAGGAGTATGCTGATTTAATTGAGGATACCGATGATTTAAAGTAATTAAGAGCTTATATCGTAGTTTCTTCTAAGTTGGCTCTAAGTTTATAACTTAACGTTTCTTTCCATTCCTTTCTACTCCTTGTTTCTCTTTTACAAACACATTATTTGATTACTCTCATTATTGTTACGATACCCGAAACCCAACCAATCCAATTGCCGCATCAACAGAACTTTGAAGTGCCTAAAACGCACCATGTTGGGCTATCAATGAGACGAGGCATTCTTTACGCTCTTCTAGTGTTGGCGTAAAATGTTCGTTAATGTAAATAGAGTTTGCCTCGATTCCTATTGGAAAAGTTGGTTGAGATCTGCCCATTGGCAGTGCCCAAAAGCAAAACCGTTTTATTCAGTTACCTTTAAAGATGATATAAGACACTAAACTCAAGTACATTATGTAATGATTCAATCAATCCGGTGCGTCGAATTCTCCTTTTCGTTTTTTGGTCACATGAGGTGACGAGTCGGGAACTTTCGCCAATTGTTCAGCACACGAAAAATGGCAAACAGTTAACTATAATTAAATATAAATACATACACTAAATTTCAAGCTAAACAGAAAACTGTTTGAAATATAATTGAAAGCAGCAGCGTATAAATCGTATTTAAACATAGAAATGAATGCATAAATTCAGTATAAACAAAAATGGTACATAAAAAAGCTTCAAAGGAAAACATTTTGTTATTTATATTTATAAATAAATTATATATATAAATATATATATATATATATATACATATACATATATATACAGAAACAGATAAAATTAATGCATTTGAATTTAATGTATAAAAAATTAATGTTATATACATAAATACACACACACACACACACATATATATATATATATATATATATAAATGTATCTATATATATATATATGTATATATATGCAGGAATGTATGTATAAATATATATATACATACACACTATATGTACTCTGTAAAAAAATATAAATATAAAAACCATAAAAAAAAATAAATTAATAAAATTATAAAATAAATTTGCAAAATTTTGTTTAAAATATTTCAGTTTCTTTACAATAAATATATGAACTTTAAATGAAACTTAAATTTGATTTACTTTAAATCAAGTATGTTGACGAATTATTCGCATAACTTTTGAATGATATTTGTTTTAAATTAAACACAGTTTTATATATATAGAGGCACAGGCAAGAATATTAGAAGTATTTGAAAAAGAATATATTGGTATTGCTTTAACCTTAGGCTGAGTTTAGCGATCTTTTCACCAACACCACAAACACATTTTCCTTCTAATATGAATGCCAAAAATAATAATTGAAATCAGAGAACACTTTTGACAAAATGAAATTAACATGGCAATTGACAAAATGAAAACAAATAACAAAATCGCAATTATAAACAATAAGCAGTTCAAAAACCTTTATAAATATATATATTTACATATATATTTCACTAGAACAATTTTTATGCATAAACCTTTAAAAAGAAAGCAAACAATCTATATTATCAATGTTTTTGCTCTAAATGTCTAACTAATTGTTAAAAAAAATAATAATAATAATAAACAAATTATTTTCAGCAGGCAAGGACGTGTTAAATAAAATTATAACGTACGCTATAAATGTGTAATTATTTGTTAATAATGACAGATTATATTGATACTTGAAAGTAAAAAGTTAATAACACGTTATGACATTTCACTGAAACTGTATATTGTACATTTTACTTTAAACCTAATGGAGAGTATTTACAATAACAAGCAAGAGTAAAACTAAACATATTTCAAATTTGTATTTAATTTATTCGTTTCTCAACAAGTTGGCGGCACTATAGAAAGCGATTTAAGCATAATTTAACTAACACAAATAAAAATTTACTTACGCATATTATTAACAAGGAATGACAAATAATGAAATGTTGACAACATGTTTTACAAAACATCAAACACAAATACGATACCAACAACTAAGGAACACATATTTTATTGTCTGCAAACAATTAACAGGCTTTTTATTGAAAATAAAATAAACGAAATAAATACGTTAATTAAAGGTTATGAGCAAAGTACGTTGAAGCATTTGCATACGAAAATAAAAAATACACGCAGTAATTTCCATAAATATAACATCGTAAAAAAACAACAAATAAATCAAACAAATAACAATATCAAATATATATTGATATATGTATGTATTACAAACAAAAAATATATTATTTAGTTGACTTATTAAACTGGACATTATTAATTTATAACATTTAGACAAAAGAGCTGGCCAATAGTTAAATTGGAAAAACCTCAAAGTTAGCGAGAATTAATAAATAAATATATCCATAAAATGCCACAGAAAATTGAATTTCAAGTTATATTTAGAGCGCATACTAAAGGAGTACCAGTACACGAAACCCCATGCAAAAGTTTGGAAACAAGGCAACCAATAAACTAAACACGAAAAGAAGATCATTTGTATAAGATTTAGTGACAAACCGACAAACTATACTAGTCTACATATATAAATACATGAATATATGACAACAATTTAATGAGAATAACATCAAGTAACGTAATAAAATGAAAGTGTATAACTATTAAAACTAACTAAACAAACAAGTCTTTATTTTATTCACAAGCTTAAAACATTGTTTGTCATCTCGATGGGCCTTAGCGGGATCCATAAGTGATTTTTAATATATTATCGTGAGTTGCCGATGTTTGTTTATGTATTTAACTAGTATACCCCGGCCTTGGCCGTGACGCTACTAAAATAAATTCTCTCAAAGATCTTTGAAAATGCCTTTGAAACCCGGCCCACTGCTGCGGGCGAAATTTTCCAAATCGCTGAAACACGTATTCTTATGTCCTCTCAAGTATATTATACAAATCGGATGAAACTTAAAACTAAGACTTAAAGTCTTCGAATCACATTTTCCACCATGCGAAAAGTGTGTAACACGTCTCAAATTATTTTTCTAATATATCTTAGAAAATAAATTTCAAAACTCGAAACGTGGGCCACTGAACCACCCACTGACCCCCATTTCCACCAAGGATAAATGTATTTTTCGAAAAGTGTGAAACAACCCTCAAATATATTTGAATAGAGATCTTTAAAAATGAGTTTGAGGATAATCGGATGGTAAACAAAAAACTTCATACAAACGACTCTCGCCCAACCGGCCGAGGGGCGCAGTCATGTAACGTACATAACGAAGTGCAAAACGAATATGAACTACGACTAACTATCTACTTGCTAAATAGTATAGAAATAGAGGAAGAAAAGATTCCGAGCAGAATACTCTATAATGCTGGTTTTGGCATGCTAAAGTAATCGGACGCAGTCTGAAAAAATATTTTAACAGATCTTTAGAACTGCCTTTCTATATATTCCGTAATGCCTACAGCGGATTTCTTGGTAAAAATTCGGATACATGTATGTTTAAAACGTGCTTCTTTATTCATAAACAAAATAGTTTTAGACATTTTTAACAGATTTATTCACAAAAATTTAATAAAATTTACTAGACAGGCTATACAATTTTGAAAACAATACACATTGAATTAATATATAAAAATTAATAAGCATGCGATTGTTTACAATACAAAATACAGAATTGCCCAATAATTACAAAATCTTAAAATATTAAAAATCTCTAGTTAAAAATGTTTGCTGAACAAACATCTACGAAATCCAAGGGACTGAGTGCCATATATATTTTAATGCTAATAACACAATTTTCAAAGGGAAATGCCCTGAACCCCTACCCCCAGTGACTAAATGCAGGTGCAGCTCCGCTAGACAATTTTGACAACATAGATATAGCTACAGAATTCTGTTAGGATTACCGATAATGTGACGATCCATAGCGTGGACTGCGACGATGCGACTCGGACTTCTCATACGTAATGCTCTTGAAATGATTGCTTGATTCAAGTGGCTGCCTGGGCGCAGATCCACCACGATTTACAACCAAATCCTTCCAAATCATCGCTATCAATATAAAGAAAGCGCCGACAATCTTGTTGAAAAACTCGATTAGCTTAAAGACGATTGGTGTGGCGGTGTGTGTAAATCGGCTGAGCTCAAAAAGAAACCGCACAGCAAAGATGCCCATGAAACGTAGCGCAACAACTGCGCCGCTCAATATGGAAAAGATAAGCAGACCCAGGAAACGTAGGGTGCCCATTATATTACGCTTGTTCACATCGTTGGCCATAAATTCGTAGACAGTCGTTACAACTGACTGACGCCATTGCTGTAGAACAGCCAGAAAATCATCCAGACCGATTTGAGCTGGCTTCTCCTCGCTGACGACATCGTCAGCTCCTCCTGCCTCAGGACTAGCACCAGATGTAAGCGCTCTGCTGGGGCTGCCTCTTTTCATCGAGAGAGAATGTCGTAGTGTCGATGTTGAGTCTGCCTCAACTGCGCGGATCATTTTCAGTTTAAGCTGCACCTCCTGACCTCGAAACCGTAGTGTTCTAATGCTGAACCAGTATTCCCCAAATGCCAAATCACTGAGCTCCGTCCAAACGCAGGTGTCCAGCTGTGCAGGATGTGGTGTATGCTTATAGCTGCCCAAGCTGCCTTTGGTAATACCCACCCACATATTGGGCACGATGCGTTGATAAAACAGTTGGAGTTTTGCTGCGCTGCTTAGCAACTGCTTCTCCAGATCACGTTCACTGCGCTGCAGGGCTATAACATCGCGATACCCACCAAGCTGCTCGACAAAGCAACGCTCGAGGTAAATGCCTCGAAAAAGTCGCGATTTGTATAGCTGTTTGGTAAGCGATTGCATGGCTAGCTCCTCTGGCGGCATGAATCGGACACCAGCTGCTGGGACCACACCTGTCCCCGCTGTGCTGACAGCTGCATCCGTTTCGGTCATTGTCGAGAGTTGATTCTATGTAAATGTTAAATATGCACAAATTAGGCAATCGACGAAGTGCTCAGTTTACCTTTACCTGCTTAGTTGCAACTGTCTTTTGGACTTCACCTTTCGCCTCTTAGTCACCAAAAGGTTTTGTTATTGTTTTGGGTAATCTTGACGAAATTTTGGCACTTGTAAGGCAAAATTGTGTCTACCTGTCCCTTAATTACGCAAAAACTATGTTATATTATTGCCTAATGTGGTATGTAGCAATAATGCATATTTGCACGCAAATAACTCTATAACAAATTGTTTACAACTAGTTGCAAGAAATAATGTTTTAATGTTATCGACTTTGTAATCGATTACAGTATTCCATTAAATACCATTTTGGCATAATCGGTATTTTTAGGGCTTTTGGACTACTGCGGCCACACTCAGTGTGTGACAACAAAACAAAATAGTACCAAAAACATTTTTGCAGCTTATACATTTTTCTTTATACACGTTTCTACAAGTCTCTGTCAAAATTGGCTCTAAACACCGTCTCAGAGATTATTATATAAGGATGACTTTGGTGGGGTTGGCAGCCCGCAAGCTGGCTCAAAAGCAGCGGTAAGCTAAACTCGAAATAACCAAAAGAAACGTAACTGAGAATTTTATACGCAGATCTGCAAAGTTGGCCGCTGCTTTTCCAAACGGCATTCGCTGTCAGAAATGTCTGAATTTAGGACACTGGAGCTACGAATGTAAGGAAAAACGAAAATACGTGCACCGTAGCTCACGCACAAAGCAGCTTAGCAAACATTTAGCTGAGAAAAGCGCGAACGCCGCAGAGTCTATGGCGGCCAGTGAGGCACGTTCTCCAGATGCCGGCACAGAAGTACGTCCCGATAGTGAGAAGCGCGTTAAGCGTAAAAGAAAGCGTAGCAACAGCTCCTCATCATCGAGCTCTTCAGATAGCTCAAAAGGCAGTTCGGAATCATCAAATTCGGATTCAAGCAGCAGCAGTAGCGACTCGGATAGTTCCAGTTCCGATGAAGACGACAATGGCAGCTCCTCCGATGGTGAATCTAGTTCCTCTAGCGACAGTGAAAATGACGACTCCAGTTCCAGCAGCAAAAGCAGTGACAGCGGCGACGAACAGGACAACTCATCACCTAAGAAGAAGAAACGGCGCGATAGCTCGGATGAATCGTCCGATGGCGGTGTCCAAGACGCGTAGAGCTGGCCCGAATAATAATAATTGTAACAATGCGTATAATACATAGCCTAGCTTTAGTAGTTTAGTTTATTTTTTTCCCGGGTGCTTTCACCAGATTAACAAAAAATTGCAACATGTCATAATTAATTTCTTTTAAAATAATCTAAGTTACTTAAAATTAGAACGCATTTGTTTTTTGAATTCTTTTAACTTAGCTAAATTCGTACCAATAAATGACTAACAGCTGTGAAATTGATTAGTCCGAATCGGTTTCCACTTCAAACGTCTGCAACTCGCTTCCGAATAATTCCAAGTCAATTTGCTGCCGATTAATTTGCTCGTTGGGAGTAACTATGCTTTGTTCAGAGGCTTCAGTATCAACTTCAAGATTATAACTAGATGGAACCATAGAGATTGTTCGATGTACCGACTGTGATTTTAAATGCAGCTCCTCCACCTGAAAGTAGGAAAGGTTCTTTAAACTATTCTGTCTGTGTGGATGCCCTTACCTTAAGTGAATTCAAGGCTTCCTGAACAACCGGAAGCACTTTGACTAGCTTCCTTTCTATGGCATATAAGTCAGCCTGCTCCTTTTGTAATACACGGTTCGATTGCAGCATATTAACTAAGTTGGCAGCAAAGACAAAACAACTATAGAGTTGCCAAGTAACGCTTGTTTTTACACTGTTCACTGTTGAGCTAACATTTTGCCCAAGTGTTATTTTCAATTTACAATAATCTTAATCTTTTTATTTTGCAATGCACTGTGATGTAGTTTACTGTAAAATGGAGTTAATAATTACTAAACCCTAAACCTTATTAAGAAACAAACTATTTTCGATAATAATTGTGAAGAATTCGCGAATTTAAATTTAACAGTCGCAAACTTACTTCCAACCTATCTGTAGCAGAGCCATAACAGGACCATAACATAGCAGAGAATTATCGCTGTTATATTAAAGTTTGCTTTTTGCAATATACTGCGCGCATTTATAACATTTTGGGAAGTTAAAAGAATATTATGTGCATTTCGTAAAAAATTACTCCTAACTATTCTATAATACAAAGGTTTATGAAATTGAGTATATATATGTATTTAAATTGACTGCTTGAAGAAACAGGACTGACAGACGGCATTACAAAAAAAGTGTGACCAACCTTACCGCGCTGCGTCGCATTTTGATATTCGCGCCGAAAGATACGTAAAATTAAGAACTTTTCGAGCAGTTTTATATACAAAGGCAAGTATTAGTGCAAAGAAAAACAAAACGCTTGTTAAAGCTAAAACATTATTTTCTTCTTGTTGCAGCACACGAATGATGAAGACCGTGGACAAGGGGACAATCCTTCAACGCTTCGTTGCAAACTGTCAGAAACTAAAAATTGAAGAGATTATTTGGCAAAAAGCTATTAAAACATTTCATAAACTCAACGTTGATGGCGTCCTATCCAATGAGGCTGACGACTGGCTCTGCTGCGCTGTATACAGTGAGCTGCAACAGACCAAAATGAAGGACATGCGACAAGAAGTGGTCAACACAAAAACAGATGAAAATGAACCATGGGATAAGAAGGCGCGATGCCAAAGCTGGAACATATCGCTGACCAAACTGCTACGCAGCTTTGGTATAAACATTAACAAGTTCCTAAAACGCATGGAGCATTGGAATTGGCTCGCACAGAATGGGGAGGTCTTTCAGCAGGAAGTTAACGATCTGGAGCGACGACTCGGCATCACGCTACTTCTGCTACAGCACTACAAGCGCATCTTTCAAAAGCTCTATGTGCTGCCCGCGACAGCAGACAGTCGTGCTCATTACCAAATGATCTATGAATTTGGCTGGCTGCTGTTTCTGGTGGTGCGCAACGAGCTGCCCCCGTTTGCAACAACCAATTTAATCAATGGCTGCCAGGTGCTGGTCTGCGCCCTGGAACTAGTCTATGTAAATGCGCTTGAGGTGTACAAATCAGATGTTATCAACACGGCGTTTCAGGGCGTACCCCCAAGCTGGTGCAACAAGGATTTCGACATTGATCTGCTGCACAAGTACAGTGCCATGGATGCCATATGCGGTCTCATACCGGAGCTGCCAGCAAAGGGGGCTCGGATTATGAAGAACGCCTTCTTTCACAAGGCTGTGATGGGCTTGTTTATGGATCAACGTTTGCTGGGCAACGATCGGGTTATGCGCGAACTGATCAAAGACGGCATCTTAGAGGTAAACTTGGCATCTTTGAATCGCAGCTACGCTGTGCACGTCTCGGATATCAGCGAAATTGATGAGCGGGTACTTTTGAAGCACACACCGTCGTCCTCAGCAGACAAGGAACCAGCGCTAAGGGAAGAGAAACAGCAAAATAACATAAGCGAAGCAAACCGCAAGCTAATCTCCGAGCTTACAAGCGACACACAACGCGATAATCTCACCAAGTTGCTAACAGACGAACTGCCGCAAACGCTGGCCACTTACATAAGCGGTGCTCTGAGCAAAAGCGATGTCAAGCTCTTGCAGCAATCTTTGCTTGAAATGTGCGACAAGTTTGAGAGTGCAGCGCTTCTAAAGACGAACACATCTGATAGCCGATTTAACCTGGTTAGGGGCTTGTACTACCAGTTGCTGGACAAGATCATTGCTGCCGAGCTGCGTCGCAGGCCAACCATCAAACTTGCGCAGCTACTAATCCAGCTGCAGCGCACCTTTAATGTCGCACTCATCGCCTGCTGCCTGCAGCTGGTACTGCATATCTTTGAAGCACAGGATACGCAGCTTAAGTTTCCCTGGCTGCTGAAATGCTTTAACATAGATCCTTATGAGTTTCAAAAGATAATTGAGCTAGTTGTGCGACACGAGTGCGGCTTGCTGACGCGTGATCTCATCAAGCATTTGCATGACATCGAAGCCCAATGCCTGACCTCGCTGATTTGGCAAAATAACTCGCAGCTGTGGCGTATATATGCTAGCACGGGGCTGCCACGTTGCCAAGACGTGCAATCAAGCTCGGGCCAGGAGAATGTAAGAGCTGCGCCTGGCGCAATCAACATTTGTTTGCGCAAATTCTATCACCTGGCTAACCAAAGGCTGGCTTACCTTTGCAAGTGTCTATCCCTGTTGGCGAGCTACACGAAAATCTGGCACATTTTAGAACACTCCATCATTGTACACGGCTATGAGCTGCTGCGGGAGCGTCACCTCGACCAGCTCCTCATGTGCGCGATCTACCTCTGCGTGCGCAAGGGGCAGCTGCGAATCAGCTTCAGCGATATCATTCAACAGTATAGACGCCAGCCTCACGCCCAAAGTGCCATCTATCGAGCCGTGCACTTGGCCGATGGGCAGCCGAACACGGACATCATCACCTTCTACAATCGAGTTTATGTGCAGCGCATGGCCGAGTACGCGTGTGATTTACACTGTGAGCAATCCTCAGTCGGAAATGAATGTGCTTCTACTCAGCGGCCACTGCAGGAGCTCACAAGCAAAATGCGCTTAAAAAGCAACGGCAACAACACGAATGTCTTCGTCTCACCGGAGGCGATGCCACGCATATGCATGGCCAATGGCTGCAGGGCCAAAATTATAACCGAGACGGCGACGCCTAAGAATCTCAAGCGTGCACACTCCAACGAAGAGCTGGGCAAGCAAATATCCACCTCCAAGCGACCAAATATACTCAGAAGACGCACAACCTTCCAATGAGCAGAGGAGTGCGGCCAGAACTGTGCTATTGCATGTTAAGTTCTTTCGAGGGCTATTCGCATGCGTGTGCTACCTTTTTTTTTGTAGTGTATAGACTATGCTACCCAATGTTAGATTTTTAGGGTATATCATTGTGAATGAATCTGAAAATTGAATTGTCTGGAAACTGAATTTATAAATGGCCAAATTGAGTTGAACGATTAGATTGGCCAGTTGAAAAGACTCGTCTATCAGTTTTATGCATGTTTTCACCTCAAATTAGATATACCTATTTTCTTGAATTTGTTTTTTATACTTTCATTTTCGCTTACGTTAATTACTGCAATTTAAGCGACATATCGCAGTCGCATATAGAAAATTGATTATTTTGGTTATCCCGAGAACAACAGATCCTTTTCGTTTCCTATGGAAAATTGATAAAAATAAAAATGCAGTGAAGTTGTGCAAATGTAAAATATAAATAAATATATAAACGTAAAATATTTTATCGGTCCGTCCGAGCGAGTCAAAATAACTGAATATCGATTTTGACTTTTTGAGAAAATCCAGCAGATTATAATATAGTGAATGTACACAAGCACGTTATCCTGTTCAAATTACTCGACGTAAGCTGACAAAATCAACGAAATATTGGCGATAATAATACATTTGAATAAATAATATTGCTCAATTTCATACATATGAGTAGACTTTATTTTAATGCAGTTTTCGGTTTGAAACTTGGTTCAAAGTTGTGTAAATAAATGAAAGGACGCCTAGTCAGAACAAATGAGCAGGCGCCACAAAGGGACTACAACAAAATACATAAGTACACTAATGAAGGGATTTCAAGCGGGAACAGACAATTGGGTTACGGGAGGGGAGAGTATACAATACATACTGAGAGCGTGCAACTTATAACTAAAGTTTTTTCTCATGCCTACACACATAGTTTTAAGATGAAGGAGGAGGAGGAGGAGGATTAACAGCCGGAACGCTTGCCGCTGGAATGCTTGGAGCAGGCGCAGTACTGGGCGCAACTGCTGCCACGCTGGCGACCTCGGCAACAGGTGCTGCATTAGCTGGCGGTGTAGTTTCTAAAACACAAACATGTCAATTTTCATTCAAACTTGAATTTTAGCACTCTACTCACCCATTGGCGTAGGCGCTTGAGCTTGCGCAACAGGTGCAGGCAGCTCGCCGGGCGGTGTTGGCGGCGCAGCGGCTGCAGGAGGGACAACTGGCGGCGTTGGAAAAGGTGCACCATTGGCACCTGCAGCTATGTGCGCCGGCAACGGCTGATGTTGCGCTGAAGGCGCTCCCACCGGTTGCGGCTGCTGCGACTGTTGCTGCTGGTGATGATGAGGCGGCGGTAATGTCTGCTGCTGCTGTTGTTGTTGTTGTGGTGGCATGATCATGGCACCCGCAGCAGCGCCCACTTGCTGTCCCTGTTGCTGTAGCTCCTGTTGTAGGCGATGATGCGCCTGCTGGCGCGCTCGAAACTCGGCCGCTTTCAGCTGCTCCAGATGGAATTGCTGGCGCTCCGTGATAAGCTGCTGTCTCTGGTATTCAAGACCTTCGCGTTCACGCTCCATAGTTGCCTCCAGCTCCTCAAAATGACGTAGTTTGATTTCCAGCTTCTTCATTTGTGTCTCCACCAGTAATGCTACCAGCGACTTAATCTTGCGCTCCTCAAGCGCGGCCAAATGCTTCGCCTTTACGGCCGCCGAGGCCAGTGCAGCGGCTGCTGCTGTTTGCATATTGTTCTCGCTGAAGGCCCCGTCCTTGGCTGTAGCTCCACCGCTGCTGGCATCGTTGCTACCATCCTTGGTCTCGCCGTCCCCACTGTTGTCTTCCGTTTTGATCTCAACATCGCTGTTGGTGCTAGTTTCTGTGGGTGAGGAGTTGGAAGCCGTTTTGTTTGAGGCGTTGCTCATTTTGTCGATTTTATTGGCTTTGTCGCCGCCGGCCAACGACGACGACGACGAATCTTTAGATTTTTTATCTGTGTTATTGGTGGTGGGCGTGTTGCTTGTTGCTGTTGTAGTAGTAGTTGTTGTTGTTGATGTGGAACTTGAGTCTGTGTTTGTGTTGAGCTTATCCGATTTCGTTTTGTCTTTGGACTTGGCTTCGTCTGTAGCTTGTGTGTTAACAAAGGCAACACAAAATAGGCCAATTTTTCATCATGTTTGCAAATTTTGTAAATAAAAGAAATGTTAATGAGAACTTAAAAGGTTTTGACAAAACAAACGAAACTTTTATCGGCAAGCCGACGAAAATCATACATTTTTTAATTTGATTATTCTTGAATATGCAAGACGAAGTTGAAACTATTTTTAAATAATGAAGTTTAGTCATTAGTCAGCTATGAAGAAACTTTCGAGGAAAAACTTTTACCAAATCTAAAATACTTAAGAAGGGGGTTGTTGTTTATTTACAACAAAAAAAACTTAAATGGTTTGTTATTTTTTAAGGTGCCTGTTAATGTTATTTATAAATGTTCTTTCATTTGCAATAATTTGCATTTGACTTATTAAGATTTGGTGACGCTGCTCAGAATATATAATAACTATTAATATTAAGCTGGTCGCATCGGAGTCAATTAGTTCATAAATATAATAAAATATAAGGTATAAATATCCAAAAGTATTTCATTAAATGTTGTATATTTTTCTTCAAAAACATTCAACTATTCAGAAATATTGATATTGTGAGCAGATTATTATGCAAAAATAGTTTGTTAAATTGCGGAAAATCATTTTTGCAGATTTAAATTAAAGGTCACTGTTTCCACCACTTACAGATGCATAATAAAATGGTGTTTATATTGTTGATCGGGCTTACCGTCTTTTTTGTTAATATCTTTCATTTCCTCATCGTTACCGCCTGCCGTGGAGCTACTATTGTTTCCCTCCTTTGATTCGTCATCGTCTTTGTCATTGCCAGTGCCGGCAATGCCGCTGTTTGCCAGACCAAAGTTGGGATTGAATTTGCCACCAGCTGAGGCCTTCTCCACGTTCTTCATATGGTTGTCCATAATAGTCGCTGGCACCTCGTCCTGCGGGTTTAAACATTCATTAATAAGTTTAATGCTTGTTTTTAGGGAAACTTACCTTGATGGCGGCGAATTCCTCCATGGCAGCTTTTGCAGCGGCAGCAGCAACACGCGGATCCACCACGGATGCTAGAAATGCAACTGTCGACATAATAGGATTGCCAGACTTGCTGAATGGAATTGGCTGACAGCCAAGAGGACCCAAGAAGCCGCCATCATCTTCAAGGTACGGATCTTCGATGGGCAGGCGCAAAAAGTGCAAAATGCATTCGTCTTGGGTGCGGGTACCCACATGTTCGCACACCTTATTCCAGTCGTCCTTATGCATCTCAAGGCCCTCAAGCAGCAGCAACGTCTCCTGGTCGGTCCACTCGCGCGACATGCTCGCCGCAGTACGATTTTTCATGGCCGCCGGTTTCTTGGCATATTGATCCAATTTCAGGCCAAACTGGCTAACCCCAGAGGCTAAACCACTAGCGGCGCCATTCTCCAGTGTCTCTGTCTTGATGCCTAGGCCGCCGCCGCTGGTCTTATCGCAATCGACGCCAGTTTCCTTACCCAGCGGTTTCTTATCAAGATCGAGCAGAGTCTTGGCCGCCGACGGTTGTTGCGTCTTTTGTGGATTGATTGCCTGCAAACCAGATGGCGTATCCGAGAGTATGTGAAAGTGTGAGGTTGGCGGCGGCCCCATAGGAGTGGGACGCAAGTCGGCATCAATCTGATAGTTGATGAGACCCCATTGTTCCAGGAACGCGTGTACGCGCATTATGGCGCACACATCCCCAGCCAAATTACGCCGACACGCTGTGCTGGTCAAGTACTCTGTGGGATTAAGTCTGCAAGCAAAAAGCAGTGAACCCGCCGCACAGGTTAGAAAGGGTGATAAAGTAATGTATAACAAAAGCCAGCTTTAAACCGGGATAAATCACGGATATATCTGTTAGACGCACCTGTAGGTGTCTATCATAAAGTTGCGATAGGCCATATAAATTTCTGGTGTCTTGGATTTGTTCTTGCTGTTGAAGAACTCGGGCATGGCGCGCTTTTCGATTACATGAATTGAGTTGTAGTCAAACCAGGCCGAATATGAGGGCACAATGATGTGATGCGTCTGCTCGGTCACATTGTCCTCCATGTCCTCCTTGGCTGAGGATGAAAATTCCTGGGTATTACTGTTGTCGCTGGTCTTGCCCGTTTGAGAATTGTCGCCGTCGCCGGTGGACAGCGCCTGGGCAGCACTGCCGCCAGTCATTTCATCGTCCAGATCAGTCATGGTGCCACCTGTTTAACAGCGATCAAGATAAATACAATACGCCAATTGGGTCACATGGATAACTTACCTTTAATAGGCATCATATCGTTGTCACCTCGTGATTTGCCACCGGGTGCTGGGCTGGCTGTCGATTGCAGCGCCGAATGCGTTGCCTTATGCACTTCCTGGATGTTAGGTTCAGCCGGCGGATCGTCGAGATCCCGTGTAAGATCCTCATCATCGTCATCGTTGCGCGATTTCTTGTGAATGACCGCTGGAGACCGCTTTCGCTTTCCCGGCTTCGATGTAGACGTTGAGGTTGTGGGTGACGGCGACCGACGTCGTTTTTGTTTGCCGCTGCCGCTGCTCGTGGTGGGCTTCTTTTTGTCATCACCAAAGGACATAATGTCATCGATGGACATGCGCTGTTTGTGCGTCTTTTTCTTTCCCACCTCATCCACCTCGTAATCTTCCTCGGCCATCCACTCGTTGTACTGCTCCAGGTCTAAAATCCATGATGCAGCCACCCGCCAACGTTCTGCAGGCGATTCTGGGTTCTCGGGTATATTCTCCGGCAAATCGAAGCTATTCAGTGTCCAAGAGTCATATGACTCAGGAAAGTAGTACCAGTGAAGCATGACATGATTGCCACGCTTGAAAATTGGGCGAGCATATTCATCAGGATGTGGATCCACCACAGGATACACAATATGCGTGGCATCCTCTTCATCAGTGACGATCTCAACCCGCCGATTGTCAAGAATCTCACGCAGACGTGCCTCAAAGCTCTTCTCAATCTCTGGCCTTATGTAGATGTAAGGTATGCGATAGAGATCTGCCTCTACAAGGGCCTGTTCGATCTCGATCAGCAATTGAATGTTGGGATCCTTGCGGGTGGGATTCTTTCCAATTGAAAAGTCAAACTTTTTGCCACGTTGCTCGGCCCGAAAACGAAACATGGTGGAGAAAATTATGCAGAGACCTCCACCGTTTTTGAAATCCAGAAAACAGCGCATCTGCAACAAGGGAATTTATTAGTATTTTTCATTAACTTTTGGCTACTATTTAAAAAATGTATATGCAGATTAC